TGTGTGTGTGTGTGTGTGTGTGTGTGTGTGTGTGTGTGTGTGTGTGTGTACTTGTGTCCCATCCTAACTTTCTCCAAAACTGTTAATAAAGTTCTGAGATTGATTTGGATTCCCCTTGTGGATGTTCCCCTGCCCTGTCAGTGCTGCCCCCTGGGGGAGGGGGGGGGGTCAGTGTGAGGTGAGGCCTTGACAAACAAAGGACGAGCAAAGGTCTGGAGCCAAACACCATCTGCTGCACCCACAAGGAGCTCACTGTTCAATATGTAACACCTTAAAGCAGTTCCAGCAAAAGCGTTTTTGTCATAATCACTGGTGTAAAAAACTGTCCTTATCAAAGAAATTAACTCTTTAACATCAGGTGAAAACCACATCCTGCAGACCTCAGGAGCTAAGCAGGGCTACAGTGATTGGAGACCTCTGGAAACACCAGGTGCCACAGTGGGGCGGCTAAACTGTGTTTGTGTCCTTATAAGACATTCACCCACATTAGACATTGGCACATACTGGTTTCCTCGTCTCTATCAGTGTGCCCCAGGGCAGCTGTGGCTACAGAAATAGTGTATCACCACCGTGTGAGTAAATGAATGATAATGTGAAGCGTCTTTTGAGTGTCCAGGAAAGTGCTGCATTAAACCCATGCATTATTAAAATTATTATTATTAATATCATTGTCATCAATAATAATTATATCAAAGAGAACGTACACAAATAAAGACCTTTCTTCACCACTAAAGTTGAGGCCTGAAACTTTAAAAAGACAGAAAAATAAGAGCACCAACTGTAGGGAAACATTTATGGGATTGGGACCAAGTTCACTGTGTCAGCCAGCCAACTCCAGCTCCACCAGTATAGTCCTGATGTACCTCATGGTAAAGCTTTATTTGTATATACTGACAACTATTTTTGACTTGTGTCTCATCCATTTTCTTCCCCTTAATCCATTTCTGGCTCGGGGGGTGCAGAGCTGCACCCAGTACACAGAGCACCAGCCCCTTACTGATCCTCCCGCAGGTGAGGAGCCTTGATCTCTAGACAAAGTGGGGTTAAGTGTCTTGCCCAAGGACACAATGACAGCAGTCATCAGTGGGAGTCTTGAAGTAGGTCTCACCCCATCCAGGGCCAGCCAATCTCGCAGCTCTGCCAGCCTCTCGAGCCTCAGCCAATCACACAGCCCGGCCAGCCCCACTGCCAACGTACTGACAGTTAAGCGGGCAGTTCAAAAAGCAGCCACTTCGTACTAACCTGCGCTTCCTGAAGCTCTTAACACCCACCGCTTCCTCGAGCTCCTGCTCTGCCTCCTGCTCTGGCTCCTGTCCTGGCTACTGCCTTGGATCCTGCTCTGCCTACTCCCCATTGACACTCTGCTTATAGCCACCACCAGTGCTCGACCCCGGGGATCTGGGATCATCTTCAGCAGAAAATTATCTTCCCTCTGCAAGTGACCCCGCCGGGGTCAATGCGCCAAACAAATAAATCTTTCTAACTGCATTAATGTGTTTGTCTTGGTCTCTCCAGATTTAATTGAGTCTATAACAGGGATGTCCAAACTTGTTAGTAAGAGGGACAAAACCAGGCCTGTCAGGGGCCAAAAACAACAAAGATCATAAAACTACTGTAACTGGATCCAGGCTGTTCTTTCAAATGAAGTATGTCCATATTGTTTCACACTACAGCTACATGTATGGAATTTTGTGACACATCCATCCATTTTCTTCTCCTTAATCCATTTCTGGGTCAGGGGGGTGGCAGTCAGAGCTGCACCCAGTACACAGAGCACCAGCCCCTCACTGATCCTCCTACAGGTGGTGAGTCCACAGGAGCCTTGGTCTATCAGCAGGGGCTTCAGGCAAAGTGGGGTTAAGTGTGTTGCCCAAGGACACAATGACAGCAGACATCAGTGGGAGTCGTGAAGTAGGTTTTGTGGTGGGCTCGAACCCACCACCTACAGACTCAAAGGCCAATGCTCTACCAACTGAGCCACTGTCACCCCATTTTGTGACACAATCAAAAACAAATGCACTTACATACAAATAAAGTTAACGGTCCAAACAGCCCGATCTGGTCAAAACTGCTTTACAACCTTTGCTGTCTAATGAATTAAATGTGCATCACTGAAATTGTTGCTCCTACAGAGAGGCTGGCTGTAGATCCAGCACTCAGGCTAGAGACAGGATGCGTTTAAAAGATGTATTGATTGCGAGTTTTGTTTGTAGTTTATTAGTTTGGCGCATAGATAGATAGATAGATAGATACTATTGATCACCCTTAGGAGAAATGCAGGTGTCCAGTAGCAGCAAAAACATCCATCCATACAGTGGGCAAAAAAGTATTTAGTCAGCCACCGATTGTGCAAGTTCTCCCACTTAAAATAATGACAGAGGTCTGTAATTTTCATCATAGGTACACTTCAACTGTGATAGACGGAATGTGAAGGTCCTGCTAAGGGGACAGGACGACTGATCCGTGTTAAGGAAAGAATGAATGGGGCCATGTATCGTGAGATTTTGAGCCAAAACCTCCTTCTTTAAAAATCCTACAATGTGAATTCCTGGATTTTTTTTACATTCTGTCTCTCACAGTTGAAGTGTACCTATGATGGAAATTACAGACCTCTGTCATTATTTTAAGTGGGAGAACTTGCACAATTGGTGGCTGACTAAATACTTTTTTGCCCCACTGTAACAAATAACTAGATCATCCTAAAACTAAAAACCAGCACTCTAGGTCACTGCAGCAGAGGTTGAACGTCCACTGGGTGCAGCAGGACAGGCCACAGCAGCAGAGGTAGCCGCTTGGCTCGGACCATTCTCACCGCTATAGTCCAAAGCATAGGCCCCGGCTGTGGCCTTGCTTTGTGAGGATCAGTGCTTCAGTGCAGATCATGATCCCCCGGGGCCTAGACACTGGTGGTGGCAACAGGGCAAGGTGTCCAGCTTTTTCCAGCTGTCTTGATTGGCACGGCTGCAGAGAGCTGATGAAGCTGATGTGATTGGCTGAGGAAAGGCATGGGCCCAGTGCGATGACGCAGGTAGTACCAATTTGAACCTCCGCTTAAGCTTCATGACTGAGGCTATAGATCCAGGACTCAGGCTGTAGATCCAGGACTGAGGCTATAGATCCAGGACTGAGGCTGTAGATCCAGGACTGAGGCTGTAGATTCAGGACTCAGGCTGTAGATCCAGGACTGAGGCTGTAGATCCAGGACTGAGGCTGTAGATCCAGGACTCAGGCTGTAGATCCAGGACTGAGGCTGTAGAGTCAGGACTCAGGCTGTCGATCCAGGACTGAGGCTTAGTAAAAGGTTTGGACACCCCTGCTCTACATTCTCTCTAATGGTTATACAGTGTCTAAAGCTGAGATTCTCTTTGCCCCAAACTACAATGGAATCAGATCAAAGGTAAACCCAAACCAGAGCTCTCTCAGTAGCGCTGGTTTCACACTGCACTCTTGTGTCTATTCAAGGTCGGACTCTAGTTTCCATGGAAAAAATGCAGTGACTTAAGCATGCAGTGCTAAGCAACGGGCCGAGTGGCGGAAACCAGACGTACCAAAGACAGCTCTGATTGAAAATTCCACATGCAGCAGAGATCTCAGAGATTAGGAAAACACAATCTCGGTATTTCATCCATTGTCAGTGGTTGTGTGAAGCCATATATTGTCAAATTAACATGTTTTCTAGAAACAGAAACTCCTCTACTGACCCTGACCCTCAATAGCCTGTGTTGCACTGCAACATCTATGACAGCTTGGAGTCTTTTGTGGTAGTTGTGGATGAGGTTCTCTCTCTCTCTCTCTCTCTCTCTCTTTGGGTCTCTATCTTGTCGCTCCCTCTTTCTTGTCCAGTTCTTAACCTTGTTGGAGGTACCGAACCCCACCAGTTTCATATGCGCATTCACCAAACCCCTTCTTTAGTGAAAAAGTCTTGGGTTCGAGCCCACCACAAGATTTGCTCTACCGACTCCCACTGATGTCTGCTGTCGTTGTGTCTTTGGCAAAACACTTAACCTCTGGGAACACCAGATGCCACAGTTAGGCAGCTGTCTTGCCCAAACTGCCGTTGTGTTCTTGGGCAAGACACTTCACCCACATTGCCTAGAATGAGTCTATGGTGTGTGAAGGGTTGGTGGTCGTCAGAGGGGCTGATGGCTCATACTGGTTGCCTCTCTTCTGTCAGTGTGCCACAGGGCAGCTGTGGCTACATTTATAGTTAATCACCACCGTGTATGGAGTGAATGAATAGGGACATGTGAAGTATCTGTAAGTGTCCAAAAAAGCGCAATACATTATTATTATTATTATTATTACAAAGAAAATGTGTTGTTTTTTTGTTTGTTTTTTCAAATCAATTTCAAGTGAGGGGCATATGAAGCCCCTAACACACTGAGGCTTTCATTCCCAGTCTGTTTCAAATGTGTCAAAGCCTCTGAACTAGCTCAGACTAGCTTGTAACTCTGACATCTAGTGGACAAATATAATCACTGCAGCTTCTCAAGAGGGTTAGGGTCAGAGCAGAACTTGATTCATGTTACAAATGTAGTTTCAAATTCATACCGTTTCATCTTCTCACATAATGATAACAGAGAGCATCCTACTGCAGCAAACATGGGTATATTGAATAAAAGTTTGTTTACATCTAAAAACAAATTACAGAAACAAAGGAACTCCACTTCACGCAGATCACAGGTTTTTCAAGTTTCAGTCAGCTTCTTGTTTGGCACCAGCTCTGCCGAACCCCTGGGACTGGCTCACCCAACCCAGGTTAAGAACCACTGATCAAGTCTCTCTCTGGTCCCATTGCTGTTTTATATCGAATCTACCTTTCTTCATTCATTTTACACCATTATTTTGGGGTTGATACATTTGTTACAACATTTTCAATACTTACAGAGCCTGAAACGAAAGAGATTTTGGAATGTGATGATAAAGAGTCTGGCACATCCGCTCACCTCACACGGGGGGAATTCTGCAGTAAAAGTCTCTCTGTTCACAGCACAGTCATTATGGAGCAGCTGATCACGGAGGTAATTACAGGCGTAGGACAAGCGTCTTCAGAGGCTTCTTCTCTGAACACGGCGTGAGGTAATCCCAAAAGACGGAGCGCTCCGGAGGTGAGCTTAACCTGGAAATCCACACAAAGCCATTATTTCATATCGGAGATGGAAGATGTGTTGGAAACAGACATGATAACTATGGCTATTTAAGTACATTACCTGTAATTACAACCAATGAAAAGGCAGAGAGAGAGCGAGACAGACAGAGAGACACAGAGAGATAGAGAGAGACAGACAGAAAGAGAGAGAGATAGAGAGAGAGAGAGACAAAGAGAGAGACAGAGAGAGACCGACAAACAGACAGAGACAGGCAGAGAAAGAGAGAGACAAAGAGAGAGACAGAGAGAGACCGACAAACAGACAGAGAGACAGACACAGAGAGAGACAGCGAGTCAGACAGAGAGAGAAGGACAGAGAGACAGAGAGACACAGAGAGAGAGAGAGAGAGAGACACACACACACACAGCGAGAGAGAGAGAGAGAGAGAGCCAGAGACAGAGTGAGAGACACAGAGAGACAGAGAGAGAGAGCCGGAGACCGAGAGAGAGACAGAGAGAGAGAGAGAGAAAAAGCAGATTTAAAGATGAAAGGCCAAAGAAATGTGATGATCCAGGACATTTCTGGACAGTGGTCGTCACGCTCCCTATGGACCAATGGCTCCATGTGTTTGTTATTATTGCTTGTCCTTGAATGGTGCTTCATCAGCTAGTTACACCTGCACCCAGCCACGCCCACTCTCCATGACAGACGGCAGAAGTCTAACTGCGAGCCTACGGACACCTGACCAAAACAACCTGTTTCAGCGCATTACAGCCAAAACTGACATTTTGCAGTGCGGTTGATTATACTAACAGGCAAGGACATAAGCTTTTTTATCTGATACCTGCTCGTCATGAAGACAGAAGACGACGATGGCCAGCGGCAATCAACCAAAAGGACTGGGACCCATCCAAGTACTCCCTAATATGCAGTGAACACTTTTTACAAGATAAAGCAATCACAAGTTTGTATTTATTTTATTTCCATTAATTTGGAGCACAATGACACATGTCAAACGTGTCTCTTACTGCTGTCCTGTATGTGCGCTGCAACATTGACATTTTTATCTTTTAAGTCAATTGCGTGTTTCACTATTTTCCTCTCCGTCAGTACGTATCATGTTTGGCTGTAGACAGAAAAGCCACAGAAAAGTGGACTATTGCTAATGCTACCAGCAAAATGTACATATAAATCTGCTCCAGTGTGAGGGGATGCATTGTTAACGATAATGATAAAGATTTTGTAGGGTGAATTCGGGCAAAAATAGACATTTTATTTAATCGATAAAATTGACTGGGGGGAGAAGGTACGGGAGTTAAAGGCACACCGCGGACTTTGTGACCTAAAGAGTTGACACATATGAGTTATTTTATATGAATACTTGGGCCAATATACAGCGCTTGACACTTGCAATGCTCCGAGCGGGGCTGCCCTCTTGAAATACCGCCCATGTAAGTTTGGAGCAGACGGACCGTCTGCCACCAGGTCACGTGACTTGGAAGAAAGACTTGCTTTACGGCTACAGGCGCTGATATACTCATGGAGCTAAGGCTTTTGCTACTCATTTTTCACCTGCTCGACTCCTGGTCATGGCTGAGGCAAGGAAAAATTTTAAACCTTCGGAGGAGGCTAAAAAGAGGAAACGCGAAAGGGATCGTGCTGTAAGCTGCATGTCTGTATGAGCGCTGCTCTTCACCTGGTTCCTGGATGTCATCGACTGCAAAGATGTCATTCCACGCAGCACGAGCTAGACGCAGAACTCCCTCATCCAGGATATAGAAGTCCATGTGTGGTAGATTACTAATGCAGCGGTCTGGAGGCTGACCACAGCAGAGTCTCTCAATATCTGTAGGCATGTCTCTACAGTTTGAACACACACACCAGTGCATGCTGTCTGAATACACACTCAAAAGACACCGGCTGACTGTTTGTTGACTTTTGCGACAGTGCTGAGTTGCTTGTGGCCACTAGGGGCGCTAAACGTGAAAGTTGCAGGTCTAGCGCCCCTAGTGGCCAAGAGTTACACGGTGTGCCTTTAAGGATCGCCTAACTGGATGGTCAACATTGGGATTGTTAGGGATGTCCATAACCTGAGATTTCACTCACGTCATGGGGACTGGTTTTACGTTGTGGGGCCCAAACACCGGACCCCACTGGTCCAAGCTTAAAAATCAATGGGTAATGCTTTTTCAACGGTCCTTATGCAGTCTCTGCATATGGAAAGGACCCCTGGAGGAGAAAGCGTGTTATGTTTCGGAACCCTGGTGGTGGCATGCGGTATATCAGGGAGGGGCAAACCGGGGCATTATCAGTCCAAACTAGGTGTAGGCGTGGCCCATCAGGCTCGAGCCAATCATGAAGCAGCACAGCTGAGGCTGGAGCCAACCATGGAGCAGCCCACCTGAGGAAGTCAGGTCGTTAGGCTAGAAAAGGTGCAGGTGTGGTCCATCCGGTTGCAGCCAATCACAGAGCAGCACACTGAAGAGCACGCTTACAAACCCCCGGTAAGTACTGACTACAAGTTATGATTACAAACTGTTACATAGAATTATTAAAATTATTTGTTGCTTGTGCAGCTTAGTCAAGAGTCCCTTAACAGAAGTGATGAAGTCAACTCAGATTCTGACAATTTAACTGTCAAAAAACCTGTAAAAAAAGTATGGAAAAAGAAAAGTCAAAAATATTTGTCTTCAAGACTCAGAAAATGACGAAATGCCCGGCAAATAAGATTGTTATCATGCAGCTGCAAAAGAAGAAAAATGGAGCCAGAGTTTATAGCAAGAGGCACTTCTGCCTCCACTGTTCAATGTCCTGCCACAAAATGTCCCGTCATTTGTCTAGAAAACATGGAAATGAAAGTGACGTAGCCAGAGCATTGGCTCTACCTGTGAAATCTAAAGCACGTAAACTTTTGATTTGATCAGGAATAGTGGAAACCGTGAGCACAATTTTGAGGTTTTGAAGGCCGGCATTGAGACTTTAGTCCCAGCTAAACAGCCAAAATCTCCAGTTGAAGACCTTATGCGGGGTTTAAAAAAAAAAAATGTGGATATCAAAATTGCATGACAATGTCGATCTGAAATAGATTCCGGCAAAAAAAATCCTATATTTTATTAAAAAAAACTTGTTTTTCATGAATTTAAGTTGTCTATGCTCTAACCTGTGTGTGACGTCATAGCGGGTAACGCCCATGCATTGAAAACCATGGATCTATGCCACAGGCCTGCCTTTTCTCTCTTCTCTCCACTGATGCCCAACACAATACTGCACTCTACAGGTGACAATTGCTCACCACACATAAATTGCCGTTTTGAGAGTGAAAATGTATCTCAGGTAGAATTTGAACCCCAGTATCTGGATTGGCAGTCCATCGACACAACCACTGGACTATCTCAGTGCCAACGAAGAGTTACAATCTAGTAGTAATTTCACACGCGCTGCACACGGCCTTGTCATCTTGAATATCCGCAAAAAAAGAACGAATACCAAATTGTAAACAACTTACAGCGTTGAAACGTACCCACTCTGACGTCACCAAGGGCTGTGAAGTTTTTTCGTCTCTAAGGGCGTTGCTATTGGGTTATTTTGATTTGGGGGGATCAGACAAAAAAAACAACAACTAATTTTGAAACCTTTAGTAGTTCTCTTCTAATATAAAATAACCCGGCATAAGGTCTTTAAATCCAGTGAGTTGTTGCACTGTATAGACTGTGGTGCATTGCTCAAGCGAAAGTCGCTGTGGAGGTATGTGGCCAGGTGCCGGATTTCACAGAAAGATGCCCAGGCTAAACCAGGTAGAAGTAGGGTCCAGTCCCTCTGCTCCCTAGCCCAGCCTGTACCGAAGGGCATCAGCAAAAAGCTGTGGTCTTTAATTTCGGCAATGCATCAGGATGAGGTCACGGGTGCCGTCAAAGCAGAAAAAGGGATTCTGAGACTCGGAGAGCACGTATACTTAAAACATGGGCATGATAAGACTAAGGCCTGGACTCCACCGGGCGCGTCTCCGTTGACCACCATAGTAGGTAGGACCGCAGACGCCGCGTACAGAACCATAGACGCGAGGGCAGGACCATAGACGCCGCGGACAGAACCATAGACGCCGCGGACAGAACCATAGACGCCGCGGACAGAACCATAGACGCCGCGGTCAGAACCATAGACGCGAGGGCAGGACCATAGACGCTGCGGACAGAACCATAGATGCCGCGGACAGGACCATAGACAGGAGCATAGACTCGCGTTTAAAACCATCCCAGTGTGTTGCAAGTGCGGTCTCACCTTGTCTCCCCCCGAAGAGCAACCAAACTCATAAAATTAAAGCTTGGGTACCTAAAGTTTACCCATGCATTTTGGTTGTAATGTACACCAAAGTAAAATGTTGTGAACAAATCCAATTGAACACACCACAATAGGCGTCTTGTTTTTTATTTTGCATACTTAAGAGCCATGGGAGTCATTATTTGACTTTTTGGGCAGAGAGTGGTGTTTTTATTATTATTATTATTATTATATATAAATCTTTAAGGACACAATACAACACGGTCCATAGTAAAAAGAAAGTATCCAATACACTCAATATATTGCATTATGGAAAAAAAAAATATATATATATATAATTTCCACACATTTAGCGCCACTTGATTGCCAAACTCTTGTTAACTCATTGCATTGGGACATTTTTAGTCAAGTAACTTTTGACATTGGGCAAGTGAAATATAAATGGTACTTGCCCGAAGGGCAAGTGGCTGACAAAGCTTAATATCAAGTCCTGCAGAGAAATTAAAATCAATGTAGGATTTCTTTATTCCTTAACCATGTGATTGAGGCAGTCCGGTCTGTGGCTGGATATGATGAGGAAACAAATCAATACAAGACTTCATCCTTGGCCCTCAAACTCGGCCATAGCCTCAAAAAGCTAGCAGATATTCTTGAATGTGACTCAAAAATGGAGCATTGTGTGGATGAACTGGCCCACCACCTGCAGAGGGGTCCGGTGCGGTGCTGAGAGGACTGGGCAGCAGTCGAAGGCGGAGACCTCGGCGACCCAGTCCGCACACACAACATCTGGCTCTTGGGACGTGGAACGTCACCTCACTGGGGGGGAAGGAGCCCGAGCTCGTGGGGGAGGTTGAGCGATACCGACTAGAGATAGTCGGCCTCACCTCCACACACAGCTTGGGCTCTGGAACCCAACTCCTTGAGAGGGGTTGGATGTTCCACTTTTCTGGTGTTTCCCGCGGGGAGAGGCGGCGAGCTGGGGTGGCCATTCTCATTGCCCCCCATCTCAGCCGCCACGTGTTGGAGTTCTCCCCGGCGAATGAGACGGTTGCGTCCCTCCGCCTCCGGGTGGGGGACAAGTCTCTCATTGTTGTGACGGCCTTCTTGGAGTCCTTGGGAGGTGTACTGGACGGTGCACCACCCGGGGACTCCGTTATTCTCCTGGGGGACTTCAACGCCCATGTGGGAAACGCCAGTGACACTTGGAGAGGGGTGATCGGGAAGCACGGCCCCCCTGATCTGAACCCGAGCGGTGTTCAGTTGTTGGACTTCTGTGCCAGTCACAGTTTGTCCATCACGAACACCATGTTCGAGCACAAGGGTGTCAACCAGTGCACGTGGCACCAGGACACCCTAGGCCGGAGGTTGATGATTGACTTTGTTGTCGTATTATCTGACCTTCGACCGCGTGTCTCGGACACTCGGGTAAAGAGAGGGGCGGAGCTGTCAACCGATCATCACCTGGTCGTGAGTTGGATCCGCTGGCAGGGGAAGAAGCCGGTCAGACCTGACAGACCCAAGCGTATAGTGAGGGTCTGCTGGGAACGTCTCGCTGAGCCCCCTGTCAGACGGACTTTCAACTCACACCTCCGGGAGAGCTTCTCCCAGGTCCCGGCGGAGGAGGGGGACATGGAGTCCGAGTGGACCATGTTCTCTGCCTCAATTGCCGATGCGGCGGCCCGTAGCTGTGGTCGCAAGGTCTCTGGTGCTGGTCCCGGCGGCAACCCCCGAACCCGGTGGTGGGCACCGGCAGTAAGGGATGCTGTCAGGCTGAAGAAGGAGTCCTATCGAGCCATGATGGTTCGGGGGACTCCTGAGGCAGCTGTCCAGTACCGGCAGGCCAAGCGTGCCGCGGCCCGGGCTGTTGCAGAGGCAAAAACCAGGGACTGGGAGGAGTTCGGAGAGTCTATGGAGCATGACTATCGATCGGCCTCGAAGAGATTCTGGCAAACCATCCGGCGCCTCAGGAGGGGGAAGCAGTTCTTTGCCAACACCATGTATGGTGCGGGTGGAGAGCTGCTGACCTCGACTGGGGATATTGTCGGGCGGTGGAAGGAATACTTTGAGGTTCTCCTCAATCCCCCCGTCAATCCCCCCCTCAATCCCCCCTGCCTATTACAGAGGCAGAGGCTGAGAATGTTGGGGCGGATACATCCATCTCCCTGTCTGAGGTCACCAAGGTGGTTGGCAGCCTCCATGGTGGCAAGGCTCCGGGTGTGGATGAGATCCGTCCTGATTATCTAAAGTCTGGACTGTCTTGGCTGACACGTCTCTGCAACATCGCGTGGCGATCGGGGGCGGTGCCAATGGAGTGGCCGCCGAGGTGGTGGTCCCTCTCTACAAGAAGGGGGACCGGAGGGTGTGTTCCAATTATCGTGGGATCACACTCCTCAGCCTCCCCGGTAAGGTCTACTCCAAGGTACTGGAGAGGAGGCTACAGCCGATGGTCGAATCTCGGATTCAGGAGGACCTGTGTGGTTTTCGTCCCGGTCGCGGAACACTGGACCAGCTCTATACTCTCCATCGGATACTCGAGGGTTCATGGGAGTTCACCCAACCTGTCCACATGTGCTTTGTGGATTTGGAGAAGGCGTTCGACTGTGTTCCCCGGGGTGTCCTTTGGGGGTTCTCCGGGAGTACGGGGTCGGAGGTCCTCTGCTGAGGGCCATCCGATCCCTGTATGACCGGCAGTAAGTCAGACCTGTTCCCGGTGAATGTTGGCCTCCGACAGGGCTGCCCTTTGTTACCGGTTCTGTTCACTGTGTTTATGGACAGAATTTCTAGGCGCAGCCAGGGGTCGGAGGAGGTCCGGTTCGGAGACCACAGGATTTCATCTCTGCTGTTTGCAGACGATGTTGTCATGTTGGCTCCAACGAACCAGGACCTGCAGCATGCACTGGGGCGGTTTGCAGCCGAGTGTGAAGCGGCTGGGATGAGAATCAGCACCTCCAAATCCGAGGCCATGGTGCTCGACCGGAAAAAGGTGCCTTGCCCTCTACAGGTGGGTGGAGAGGTCCTTCCTCAAGTGGAGGAGTTCAAGTATCTCGGGGTCCAAGTATCTCGGGGTCTTGTTCACGAGTGAGGGAAGAATGGAGCGTGAGATTGACAGGCGGATCGGTGCAGCGTGCGCAGTGATGCGGTCGCTGTATCGGAGTGTTGTGGTAAAGAGGGAGTCGTTCCCTCCCTCACCTATGGTCATGAGCTTTGGGTAATGACCGAAAGAACGAGATCGCGGATACAAGCGGTCGAAATGAGCTTCCTCCGCAGAGTGGCTGGGCACTCCCTTAGAGATAGGGGGAGGAGCTCAGTCACACGGGAGGAGCTCGGAGTAGAGCCGCTGCTTCTCGTCGTCGAGAGGAACCAGTTGAGGTGGCTCAGGCATCTGTTCCGGATGCCTCCTGGACGCCTCCCTGGGGAGGTGTTCCGGGCACGTCCCACCGGGAGGAGGCCCCGGGGAAGACCTAGGACACGCTGGAGGGACTATGTCTCCCAGCTAGCCTGGGAACGCCTTGGGGTCCCCCCGGACGAGCTGGAGGAAGTGTGTGTGGATAGGGAAGTCTGGGCGTCTCTGCTTAGACTGCTGCCCCCGCGACCCGGCAACGGATAAAGCTGAAGAAAATGAATGGATGGATGGATGGATTGCTACTGGTTCACGTGGCAGGATTATTAGGCGGATTTAAGACCCGATTTACCCCAACGACAATCTTAAGAACGCTCTGATTTTTGTTGAAATAATCTGATGGATTTTCCATGTGTGGTGTGTTAAGACTGCGTCGCTCAGAAGGACTTTGGGACTGCTCCAATCTCAGGGATATTCAACATGTTGGATTGTTTTGGCCCGATTTCTCTTTGTGTGTGGTGTCCTCTGGCACGAGCACAATCAGAAGACGAGGTGACAAGGCGGCAAGGAAATCCCGGAAAAAAATCAGTCAGCGGCATGGCGCATAAATATATATATACAGTAGTCCATGCTCGTGTTTTCTCCATTTCTTTGACCATCGTCTTTTCCTTTGATAACACTTTTTCTCTGTTAAAAACAAACTATCGCCACTGCCTCCTGTTCGTCCGCCATGATTGTTTACTCTGAAGTCATGCTTGATCTCCAGAGATTTTATGAGATTTTTGTCCGACCTGGGAATGCTCGGTGGAGAAATCGGTTCGTGTGTGATGTGATTTTGCCGTGTGGCTGCACACCACACACTGTACGACCAAAGTGGTTAGACCCTTGATTTTTTAAGCTCCAATAGAAATGATCAACTGGCGGGCCGATACCAGTCCGCCGAGTTGTTTGATTTGGCCCACGATTTTATTCCAAAATTCTGAGGATCAAAAGAATAATCAAAAAGATTTGTGTTTGGGATGGATATGTTTCTGCTTCTATATATCTATTTATCCATCATCCTTCCATCTATGGACTCAGACACTTCCTGAGGCTCCATAATCCAGCTCTGTGGTTTGACTTCGTACTAGTTATGTGCACCCAAAAACAAACAAAACACACTTACATCAATGGAAATAGCTGCACTTCATACAAAAATGAATGCATTTTATTCTCAGTATAGTCTTTGGATGATACACTTTGATATAATATCACCTTTAACGCAAAGCAAAACGATGTGCAATAAATATTTTTACTTTGCGTTGGAGATTTGAAGTTGGCCCATGCCATGGCATACAATTTGTATCACCAAAAATAAAAAGACTTCTCCCCCTGAACATGGCTTATTCAGTGAAATACATCCATTGGTTTCAAAAGATGCATTCCATTATTTTCTATTAGACTTTTCTTGAACATGAAATGGAATCTCCCATGGCAACAGAACATGGCAACGTCATTGTGTTTGTCGCAGCGGAACATTCTATCACCACAGCAACCAACATTATGTCATTGTAACCATGGCTCTGAAAAGTTTGTGTGTGAAGAAAGACAAGACGAGGGACTTAACCAAACCCGAGGAAAATCCGAGGATCAGGGTTAGGGTGACAAAGCGAAGACATCGATACCATACTGACAAGATGTGGTGTTTTAGAAGAAGTAAAAAGGAGCTTTACAAAGCCATGGTGGACAATTTGGTTCTTGCGGAAGAATCAAACCAGGCTTTGTTGGTTGAGGTCAAGAAACTGAAGGAGGAGAGGAGTGACCTGGTCAAGGCTCAAGAACAGGAAACATGCAGACTGAAGGAGCAGGTGACACAGCTGCAAACGGAAAAGGACTTTTTGGGGTCCACCGCTTTCAACCGGCACCAACTTGACACCACCCTCCAGGAGAAAACCAGCCTTGAACTCTCGCTGCAACAAACCACCGCAGAGCTGCAGACCGTACAGCAGACACTGAGGACTTTGGAGAAACGTGCTGAAGAGGACAGGCGAAGAAAGGACTCCATCATTAAAGGTATGGACACACATCTCGCCAAAGGTGGCGATGAAAACATGAACACATTAGAAGTAATGAACTTTTGTCTTCTAGATGCTGAACATTATATTAAGAAGCTGGAGACCAAAATGCAGGACCAGGAGATGCACCTGAAGAAAGGTAATTACGAGCTGGAGGAAAAATTGCTCAGGCTTTTGAAAGAGATGGATGAGTTTAGAGAGAACTTTGTCCTGAAAACTCTGTTATTGCAGAAATGGAAGAGGAGATGAGCAAATTTACGGCTCAGAAGGCTGAAACAGAAAAGCTGAAGGAGCAGGTGACACAGCTGCAAACAGAAAAATCTACTCTGGCAAAGGACTGTTTGGATTCCACCATCCAGCACCAACTCAAATCCACCATCCAGGAGAAAACCAGCCTTCAACTTTCTTTGCAAAAAACCACCACAGAGTTGCAGACGACAAAGGGTGAGGTGCGGGAACTGAAAGAGGCTTGTGCCAGGTGTGAGGAAAGGAACAAGAAGGTCACCAACTTCTCCAAGATCTTGAAGGAGGAGAACAAGGGCTTGTCCAAAGCAATGGAGTCCGTAAAGCAGACTCTGAAGGAGGAGAAACAAGCCTTGTCCACAGAACTGCAGTCTGTAAAAACGACTCTGAGGACTGTGGAGAAGTGTGCTGAAGATGACGGGCGACGGAAGGACTCCATCCTGACAGGTATGGACACAGATCTCTAAAAAGTTGCCGATGAAAACATGAACACATTTGAAGTAATGAACTCTTGTCTTCTAGATGCTGGCCTTTATATTGATGAGCTGAAGACCAAAATGCAGGACCAGGAGATGCACCTGAGGAAAGGTAATTATGAGCTGGAGGAAAAAAACTGCTCAGATGGAGGAGTTTAGAGATAACTTTGCCCTGAACAACTTTGTTTTTGCAGAAATGGAAGAGCGGGTGAGCAATTTCAAGGGGATAATGAAAGAGGCCGTTGACGAGAACCTACGCCTGAAATATGAACTGAACTTTCTGAAGAAGAATCCCTCCAAGCAGCAGACCCAGGACCCTCAGGAGGGCCTCACTCCACACTATCCTGTCTACAGACGGGTCTGTTACGGTCCCAAGAATTAAGACTAAGTTCTGAATGAACACCCCTCCCTCCCCCTCCCTCCCCCTCCCCCTAAACCTTCCTCGACCCTTTTCACAACAAACGGCACATTGGATCCTGACTCACATCCTTTACAGAGTCACAGTGACTGAAGTTAAACCTCCAAATGCTCCAAGTATTTAATACTCATGAATATTGTGTCCGTTTGGTCATGAGGCTAACGGCTAACAGCTAGTGCTCGCTGCCTCTGATGGCAAAGAGTAATGTCAGTGATTAGAGACCGCTGTAAGACCAGGCGCCACAGTGGGACGACTGCGGCTGTAAAGTGCCACACTGTCGTTGTGTTCTTTAGCAAGACACTTCACCCACAAGTATGAATGGGTGTGTGTGTATGTGGTGGTTAGAGGGGCCGACTCAGGTTGGCAGCCTCCGTAGTCTGTCCCAGGGCAGCTATGGCTACAGTAGTAGCTGACTACCACAGGATTGAATGTGTGTGTGAATGAAAGGTGGTGGTTAGAGGGGCCGACTCAGGTTGGCAGCCTCCGTAGTCTGTCCCAGGGCAGCTGTGGCTACAGTAGTAGCTGACCGTACCACCATGAATGGTATGAATGAATTGCGGTTTTGTTTTGATGATAATAATACTTGACAGCGTTAATGCAAAACGTTTTATCTGTTTCACCCTGACCCCTCTGGCGCCATCTAGAGGATCTGCTAGACAAAACATAGACTCAATGACCGAATGTATAAACTGAAAGATCTTAGGTTTAAACTCAGAGGACTCCAGAGCTGACGACCTGTGCTCATGAAGGAACCAGTGTGTGCAGTGTCCAAATGTGAAAAGGGTCCATCCCCCCCCCTTCCCTCCCTGCAACAAAAAAAGTAATAAAAAAATATATAAATAAACAATTGTAACTGTGTTACATAGCTGAACCAACAAGCTCATTTTTTCAATCAAATTACGGGTTTTAATAAAGCTCAGAAAATACTGTCTACTACAAAAAAACAAAAATAATTGTAATAAAAAATACAGTATGTACACTAACCTTACACAGACTCACCTTAAACCTTAACCTTAACCATCTTACTTACAATACAATAGAATTTATTCTTGTATAGCCCTAGGTCACAACAGAAGTCATCTCAGAGACTTAACAAAACCATTGAAATCACCAACACAGGTCAGAGAATCAACAGTTAAAACACATGAAGAATATAAAGCACACACAGAAGAAAATGTCCATACATGTTGTAGAATGCTAAAGTGTCCTGATCATCACCAATCCTTTCTGTTGGACACTAACTGTCCAACAAGACCCTCCTGCATCCACAAGCCGCGTCTCCTCTTACAGCTGGTCCAGTTTGACTCTCCACCTGTTGGAAGACATGATCAAAGGGATTACCACAAAGCCAGGGCGTGGGGGCAGTTACTAAGCTGCTCACATTTATATCAACACGCTGCCTAATTACTCCCATGAGGTCCCTGCCCTATGAGCCCAGAGCCTCCTCTTGCCTCTGCCCAGGGCCTGGAGCTCAGCCAGGCCACTGCCAGAGCTCCGTGGATGCCGTAATTGCCTTGAGTGGCTGATACACATACCGAGGCACCGGTCCAAGTCCATATTAGAAGGTCAAGGGGAGTTCTAATGGACGTGTAACGGTGAGCCTGCTGATGATAACTGGGCACATAATATAGGTTTAATTACAGCCAGTGAGTATATACACTATGTGCTTTCATTATGTTTACAGTGTGTAAAAATAACAGCGAGATTTCTGAAATCTGTTGGTCTGTCTGTTGGTCCATTGGTCAATTTTTGGAATCAGAGAAGACATATTGTGTTTATCATTTGACAATTTTTAGTCTCAATATTAATCCAAAGCATCTATCTGATACATAAGCCTCTCATGGTTACTATTTTTGTGGTCTCTTTCTCTTTGGATCTCACTCTTCTGTCTCTTTTTGGTCTCTTTCTCTCTGGCATATCTCTGGTTTCTCTTTGGTCTCTCGCTCTCTGCGGTCCCTCTTTTGTCTCTCTCTCTCTGGACTCTTTCTCTGGACTCTCATTCTGGTCTCTGTCTCCCTGGACTCTCTCTCTGGTCTCTCTCTAGTCTCTCTCTGGTCTCTCTCTGGTCTCTCTCTGGTCTCTCTCTAGTCTCTCTCTAGTCTCTAGCTATCTCTCTCTGGTCTCACTCTGGTCTCTCTCTGGTCTCACTCTGGTCTCACTCTGGTCTCTAGCTATCTCTCTCTGGTCTCACTCTGGTCTCTCTCTGGTCTCTCTCTGGTCTCTCTCTGGTCTCTCTCTAGTCTCTCTCTAGTCTCTCTCTATCTCTCTCTGGTCTCACTCTGGTCTCTGTCTGGTCTTTCTCTGATCTTTATTAAGAGATATTGACCTGGCTTTAAATATTGTCAAAACATGTCTCACGTTTTCAAGAATGACTGTTCCAGATTTCAGACATGAACAAATGAAACCGGATTTTCTTGCCATAATAAATGCCATTCTTTTGTCTGTATCCTTAACAGTTTGACAGATTCCTCCTAAGCTAAACTCGTACTGAGCGGGGATGACAGTCCAGAGCCTTGTTGCCAGATACTTAAGTCGAGGACAATTAAGCTTTGATGAATCCGGACCCAAGAGCTGAATGTAAATAATTTGCACCTGTGCAAAGCTGCTACTATCAAAACACTTTTGATGGCTGCAGAGGGAATGTGCTCGGTGGGAGTGGGGCGCCCCCTAGCTCCCAAGGGACTCAGCATTAATGTCTTAATTAGGACGCCAGAGGAAAGCTCCAAAGTGCTGCGGGATGACGAGGGACGCGGCCGCGGAAACAGGAGCCGATCCTCTTTCCCAGTTCAAGGCTAATTGCTGAAAAGGATCGGACGGCATGTGATAGAACCGTGTGAGGTCATCCCCGATACATGCCGCTCAGGCGAGATGTCTGTATTAATAACTGAGTGAAAGAACGATATATTCATCTACTTGTGCCCTGGACCAGATCAGATCAGGTCATAGTCGATTGTGAATGACCAAATATTTCTGTTTAATACTAGGCGTTTGAACCTTTTTTTTTTTTTAGAAAATTTAATATTACACAATTAGTATGTAGGGAAAAGCTCAACATAAAAACAAATAAATATGATTAGATAAATCAAAAAAATCTGAAAAAAAAAACATTAAATAGACAAAAATAAATATGATAAACATACATAAAATAGATACAAAAAAGAACATGACAATAAAATAAATGTAATATTACTAAAAACAAGCATACTCAAAATGATACACAAATACTGAAATTTACTATCATTTTTTAAGCACAATGTTGTGAGTGTGAGACAAATATTTACTGAGCTAGAGGTGTTTACTTTTACGTGTGATTAGAGGATCCAGAGTGAGTTGAAGCAAAACTTCATATATGAGCACTTCCCTGTGTACTTCCATGAGCTAGCGGGTTATTATTGTCCATTCATATGCAGTCTATATGTAAAAATTGTCCATATAAAGTCTGTATTAGCACTGCCCATCCATATACAGTCTATGTTAGCATAGATCCATGATATATATACAGTCTATGTTAGCATTGTCCATATACAGTCTATGTTAGCATTGTTCATATATATAAGGTCTGTATTAGCATTGTCCATCCATATACAGTCTATGTTAGCATTGCCCATTCATATACAGTCTATGTTAGCATTGTCTATATATATATACAGTCTATGTTAGCATTGCCCATTTATATACAGTCTATGTTAGCATTGCCCATATGTATACAGTCTATGTTAGCATTGTCATTCAGTCTACGAAGTCAGAACGTCTTCACAGCATGCTAAAATCTTATCGTTCAAATAACAATTAATCGATTAATAGAATTAGTTAACGGCTTTTCTCACATTGATTGTTTGTGATTCATTGATTAATTTGTTGTAGCCCTAATAATAATAACCAACGGGTCAGGACTGAAACAATACTTTCCCACCTAAGTCTCTGTCCCCTGCTGTGGAGCTGTGTGTGGCATCTGGTGTCACATGACTGCTTACACATTCGTCTGTCGGCACGAGCGTCCGAGTGGATTGTTTGTTTCCGGGAATCAATTTGTCCTCGAGATGTTTGATAAAGGCAGCTGAGGCAGATATGATTTCAGAGCTGGACCAAAGACCCACACACAGGACTTCTTATTTACGACAACACACTCAAGGCGCCCGCTGTATTTTTATAACGAGTTCTGACCGATTAGAAATACATGGAGTCAACTTCATAAAGGGCTTCTTAAAATAACTAGCCACATGTTCCTTTCCTCTCCGGTCTATCTCTGGTCTCTCTCTTTGCAGTATCCTAGTGGTCTCTCTGGTCTCTCTCGCTCTAGTCTCTCTGCTCTCTCGCTGGTCTTTCTCTGATCTCTCTCTGCTCTCTCTGATCTCTATCTCTGGTCTCTCTCTCTGCAGTCTCATAGTGGTCTCTCTGGTCCCTCTGGAATCTCTCTCTCTGGTCTCTCTCTCTGGTGTCTCTCTCTGCAGCCTCCACAGTGGTCTCTCTTGTTTCTCTCTCTCTGGTCTCTGTCTGATCTCTCTCTGGTCCCTTTCTGGTCTTTCTCTGGTCTCTCTCTCTGATCTCTCTCGCTGGTCTCTATGTCTCTCTAGTCACTCTCTGGTCTCTCTCTCCGCAGCCTCCACAGTGGTCTTTCTGGTCTCTCTTTCTGATCTCTATCTCTCTGGTCTCTTTCTCTGCAGTCTCCTAGTGGTATCTTCGGTCTCTCTCTGGTCTTTCTCTGATCTCTCTCTCTCTGCTCTCTCTCTCCTCAGCCTCCCCAGTGGTCCCAGTAACACAGATGTCATCTACAAAGTCAACAAAGAATTTCTATTAAATCAAATAAAGCTCTAATCAAATGTACTGCAGCAGCTGACCTCATCTCCTGGAGCCTCCGGTCGCTGAGGCTCCGCTCTGTTCTAAAGATCATCCCGAACGACTCCCCTGGGGCCGGGATCACTTTATGGAGTAGTATAAGGCCGGCCTGTCTAATAAAAACACAATAAAAATACAGGTGCTCTCCTCCTTCTCAAAGACTTTAGCAGGTATTACATAATTCCCATTTATTCAAGGAAGACATATCATGTATTATTTTGGCCATTAACAACAATAATGGGACAATTTTATGTTTTAGAATGTGAAATAATATCTTTAAGGGGACAGATTCTGTGTTTTAATACTCGCAACCTCCTCTACTCTGCTGTAGTTTACTCTACTCTAGTCTATACTCTTACGAACCTACCCACAACAGACCAGAATCCGGGGAAACTTCTCGATAACCATGGTTTTCAGCAGCACTCTGGACTAAAGAAGGACCTAGTACTGGTTAAACAGGGCCAGTGGAAACGCTCCCAATTGGGGGACAGTAGGGAGCAGAGTAGAGTAGAGTAGTGTAGGGTAGAGTAGAGTAGAGTAGAGTAGAGTAGGGTAGGGTAGGGTAGAGTAGTGTAGAGTAGAGTAGAGTAGGGTAGGGTAGAGTAGAGTAGAGTAGAGTAGAGTAGGGTAGGGAAGGGTAGGGTAGAGTAGGGTCGAGTCGAGTCGAGCTGAGTAGAGTTTAGTAAAGTAGATTAGAGTAGAGTAGAGTAGAGTAGGGTAGGGTAGGGTAGAGGGTAGGGTAGAGTAGAGTAGAGTAGAGTAGGGTAGGGTAGGGTAGAGTAGAGTAGAGTAGAGTAGAGTAGGGTAGGGTAGGGTAGAGTAGAGTAGAGTAGAGTAGGGTAGGGTAGGGTAGAGTAGAGTAGAGTAGAGTAGGGTAGGGTAGAGTAGAGTAGAGTAGAGTAGGGTAGGGTAGGGTAGGGTAGAGTAGAGTAGAGTAGTAAAGTAGATTAGAGTAGAGTAGAGTAGGGTAGAGCCAAGTGACCCGTGTGTCTCTTTATCAACTACATTACCACTACTACTACTACTACTACTACTGCTCTTCCTCTTACTACTCCTACTACTACTGCACTGCAATACATGAAAATAATTGCTTAAATCAAGTGGTTTGTGGTTTAGATTGAGTACATTCTGACTGTCTTTAAACGAGATTTGCTAATAAGATTAGCCACTAAGTCTTATTTCAAGAGCTGTGGCTTTTTCTTTCTCATTCCAAGGGAGAGATTTCTTGTATACTTAGGTCAAATGCCAGCCAATTATGACTTATTTTTCATCTCTTTTGGCAGTGTATACCCACTCCTCCTCCTCTTTCTTCTTCTACTACTACATCTACTGCTACTTCTTCTCCTCCTCCAACTACAACTACTCCTCCTACTTCTACTACTGCTCCTACTACTACTTCTGGGGCTTTGAAGGTGCTCTCTGCGGCAGGAGTCCGCGGGGAGAGGCTCAATTGAAAGTAAAGCTGTGGCTAATGGACCACAGGAAGTGTCTGCAGAACTGAGAGCGATCACAATGGGGAAACAAGCTGTCGGTGCCCATTCATATAAAGGGAATGTCTGTAATGTTGCTGGTCCTGGAGGGATCGTTGCCGGGTAGGAAGGAAGAGGCGAATGGCTTTGACATACAGCTAAACTTACTGTACTTAATGTAAAAATACTTTATAGCACGGTGTA